GAAAAACAGAGACTGGAGCAGTTAATGGAAGAATCACTAAAAATACATAGGTACAGAAAAATGAGATTGGCAAGAATGTTTATCTAGCTGGGCAAAAACGCTGAAGATCTGTTGACTAGCCTGCTGGCAACTCACATAGTTCCTTGGCAGGTGCTTCCAAAAAACTGAGGCTGAGACTTATAAATGTTTGTCTTGGGCCATTTTATTTCATTGCCAGACTGACTACGCAGAAGGAACATATACTGTGATTTGGCTCTCTTCCACAAGTCCTGAACTGTGAATGTGAAATCTGTGCTTCATTTTGTCTCCCTTGCCTCTCTATCTGTGCTGAACCATTAACAGTTTAGTGGGACTGCCAGCCCTTAAGGCCCTGGTAAAAATTCCATCATACAGCTGAAACTGAGTGTAAACCGTTACGCCAAGAAAACATGTCATACATTTCTTTTTTTTTTTTTTTGGTTTTCAGAATCTGTTACTTCCTACCAAAATTTGAAATTTAGGAAAATTACTTGTGCATCTTGGCTTTCAGGTGTTATTCTAACCCTCTTCCAAAAAGATCCCATCCAGAGCTAATGCAGCATAGGCATTTTTCACATTTACATGGGAAGATGTAAAATTCTGCAGGTGAACAAAATCTAGCAGTACTGGGAGCTTAGCTGTGCTGCCAAGGCATTGGATGTGCCCAGGGAATTGTAAATACTGCTGAGTAAAAACTGGAGAAAGACAAACAGTGGAAGCTCATCTGCTGTCTTTGCCAAACATAGGAGGGAGACTTAGAGAAAGGAAAAAAAGTAAACAAAAATTAAAAAACAAAAATAATAATAAAACAAACAAAAAAACAGCACAGGGGGAAAAGGAGTGGGGAAAAAAAAAGACATAATTTTTATAGGTGACTTTTCTCTTTTGTTGAACAAAGAATTTGTTGGGAAAATTGTTTATAGTTTAGCTAACTATTAAATAGGATGATTGCCTGTTCCAGAAGCTCTTTTAAGTACTCTGATGACTGTACCTTCCATATGGACATTTATCACCCAAATCCCATTGCAAAAAGGCAGCAATGAGATGGGAGGCAAGGCAGGAGGGTGTTTCTTTGAAGAGGGGGCATTTGATGCAGGCAGGAAAGGTAGGCAAGGGTCTGGGTGCAAGGGCAGCCACAGCACAGTCCATCTTGTGCACTTAATGTGGATATGAGACAGACTACGTGGTTTATGTGCTACACCAGCAAAAAGTGGCTTACCTGCCCTCACTGTTATGCTAACTACAAAGAATTTGCAAAGAAAGCAATCACACTTAGAGATGTTTTGCTTCTGAAAACTCCTGCAAAAATCTGTTGGCTTCATAGTCTTTCCTGGGGTATTCTCACCTGCCTCTGTAACAACAGGGCAATAGGTACTATGTACTGTCCTTCTAAAGCCGGGATCATAGGTCTTAAAAAAGTAAATGTGTAAAGAGTTAAGATATTCTAGATATAGACATGTATGATTAGATATATATGGTAAATTATAAATCACATTAGAATGATAAAATTTTCATATTCTAACATATTTTCCTTCTCTATTTTAAAGTATTTTATGACTATATTAATTTATTATTTAAAGAGGAAAACAAATTGTGCTTCTTTGTGTATTTTTTTTTGTCAGCAGCAATGTCAGATCTACATCAGCCTGTCAGCTTTGTGATATTGGAGTGACTAGGTCATACATTTACAGTGACCTGGAGGCCTTTGGCCAAATATGATTTTTAAAACTAACAATTAAAAAAAAAATTGTAATGACCATACGTATGCAGGGTATGCATCATATTAATATTTTATTAATAAAATTGTAGAGTTACAATTCTCTAGTTTAAACATCTGTAAATCAGACTTTTAAGGCATTATGAGTTGCAAATACAGATATAAATCATGCTAAATGGCAATCAGTACTACAGGATGTCTAATCTGTTCAATATCTATATTCAGAGCATATATGAGTACTGCAGTACCTAGATAGGAGAATACATAAGCCATATGCAAATTACAGAGTGTTTTCTGAAGCGTGAGCACCTCTTGGGACAATCACCCCCAATTCCAGGTAGTGTTGTATTGAGATGAGTTCTAGGACACTCCCACAGTGAATTCCGGGGAAAAGTGTGTCTCAAAGTTTAATTTTCATTGTAGAGGAACAAATTATCAAACTTAAGAGCAAGTGGCACTAGTTAACTAACCTGAATTTGAAGAACCTTCACACTTAGCCCAGGGGAGTTTGTGACTGACTAGGTTAGGGATAAAAGCTGTGAAATCTCTAATCAGCTAATTATTTAAAAAAATAAATAAATCAAGAAGAGTTTGTAAAATTCAGCTTCATCTGGATATCTCTTTGCAGGATAAGAATTACTATTATTCTATTCTATAAGTTCGAAGAAAGCACCATCAGTCCAGTCTATCATTATCTGTGTTGCTGCTTCACAGTTTTTCATCTTTTCATGAATAGCCATTTCTGAAGACCTGTAATATGATAAGAATCTCTTACTAGATAATAAATTTTAATCTATTTTAGATTAATTAGCTTCTTAACGGCCACAGTTTTTTACACAACCTGTTTCAAACTGGGCAAATAGCTACAGTATTCACAGAAATTACCACAGTATTTCACCTTAATTAACACTTCTAATGTTTCAACATATGTTAAACACTGACTCAGCATAGACACAACATGCAACATTTTCTCTGTATTAAGTAGTCCTTTACACATGAAAAATCACATTGAAGGCTGTAGTACTGATCAGGAGGTCATGACAGTGGACTGCAATAGCTGCAGATTAAACTGACTGCAGCCACTGGAAGTGAAAAGCTTCTGTGCTGCTTCCTCATACTGTGAGAAGATAAAGCAATTCCTTCACCTCTGCCCTGATCTTAACATCAACATTTTAAATTAGCTGCCAGAAGTGAATACAAAAATTATACTGACCTCCTAAGTTACTCCTTTGATATTTCTCCCCTACATTTAATTTTATTTTTTACCTTGATCATACTACTGCAAAACCCATATAGTTTGCATTGGATACCATGAGCTTTTGTGTGAGCATAGAAGTAACAAAATTGTTTGCTTACTCAAGGCTTTGAGCTTCAAACCCTTTGGAAGTAATATGTCCCTTTAGGTTTTGCAAAGCACTGTATCTATCTTCAGTAATTGCATAGGTTGTGGACCTATGTAATTATGTAAATGATAGACGGTGAGTAAACCTTTGCAAACCTTAACTCAAATTGACAAGCTAGATGTAGATATTTCTAGATCATATCTATGCTAGAAAAATTTCTAATTAAAAAAAATCTTTAAGGTGAACAAGTTTTCTTTCAGATATGATACTGCAGTCACTGCCAGCTGAGACTGCAAGGTATCCATTTAAAGGCTCAGGTTTTGTACTGAAACTAAAAATATGGAGTTTGAGACACACATTAGATCACAGATTGTCTTTTATTTTGTGCATTTATCTGAACAGTGTTTCTGAGTTGAGCTGATGGTTAAGTGCTACAGATAATAAGTGTATTCATTCTTATTATTTGTATTAAATGGTTTTGTCATTTCCAGAGATGGTCATTTAGCTTCATCTGACCTTGTGTTGAAACTGCATTGTTTCATCCATTCATCAGAGCTGCTTTTCTCATAGAGGCAGAACTTGCCTGGTAATAGTCAGTTGATTTTTGAAGGCTGTGATTGAGTTTTCTCAATTTCCTGGTTTTCCCCATTTATTCAATTTAATTTCTTTCAATGTTTTACTGACATATAAACTGAGAAATAGTTTTTCTTTCATTTACAAAGTCTAATATCCTTAAAGCCTTCTCACTTTCTCTTTCTGTTCCCAAATACAAGTACAGACTTTGTCAAGGTATTTGGTGATGGAGAGACAGCTATTTTCCATCATGTCACTAACATCAGTATTCAGCACAAGTTCAATAGTGGGGATAACTAGGGGTTATCCTGATGACTGTGCTGCTAGCACAGAAACAGCCAGTCATGTCTTTCATTTCCTGCCCCATCTGTTTTGAATTCTTACCACTGTAGCCAGAGTCATCACAAAGCAATATTCATGTTTGAGTCCATCCAGTAGAGATGAAAACTGCAGGAGTTGCATAATGTCCAAACCAAGCTCTACCTTTCTCAGGAACATAAATCATTTACTCAGCTGTTTACAGATGTTGAGTCTGTTATTTGCAGCAAATATTCATCCAGGAGATGCTTGCTCATATCACCCATTTTTTATAAAATGGTTAGTTAAACTTCACAGGTAGTTACTTTGACATTTTCCTTCACAGTAAATATTAGTAATGCTGTTCACCTAGTTTATAGCACATGAACATTAACTATTCAGCTATGTCAGTATTTAAAAATTAAAATATAAATAATACTTTTTTGATAATATATATAGAATGTCAAATATTAAAGAGAAGGGAGACTGGCTATATATCATGGTTGATACTTTAATATTCAGAAAAGGCAAAAGTACCAGACTGGTTATCACAATTGCTGAATGAATTATATGGGAAAACTCAGCCGTGGAATGTGACTGCCAGAAAGGACAACAAAAGATAACTTTGAGATTTTGTTTGGTTTTGGTTTTCATATTAAACTTCAAAATCAAATAGACTTCAAAGTCTTTAAAATATTTTAGTGTTAACATTTTTACAAGCACTTTTACCTTGTGTTGTTTCAACTACATAATCTGATACCTCTCTGTTAGATGTTTTGAAGTGGGTTATAAGACCTTTACAAGAGATGTACACATACAACAACAAAATGAAAAAAAAAATCCCTTCTACTGGAAAAATACCAAAAAAACCCCAAAACTATTTTGTTGTCCTGCTCAAAAATCCTGGTTGCCCTTTGCAACTCAGGATGGCTGCCATCTGTCTGGCCTTCTCCTAACAGGATTCTGCTATAATGATGAACTCTGCAGCATGTACAGAAATTGTTCTCAAGCCTGTGTTAACAGTCCTGATAATATATTTTTTAGGTTTCCTCTACGCTCAGAACAGTACCAAACGCAGCATTAAAGAGCGACTTATGAAGCTCTTGCCCTGCTCGGCTGCCAAAACGACATCTCCTGTTACTCAAAGCAAGTTTTATTTTTAATTTTATTTTATATTTTTTTTAGGTTTGCATGCATCGAAAGTTATACTTTCATTAATGGCTCATCTGAGAGACAAGATATCTGCTGAAGTAACCATATGCTCTGCTGAGGTTTGAAATCAAGTGATGAACAGATTAGTGGGCTGGTAGCAGATCTGTCCCCAAGAGCAGGACGGCAAGACACCAGTGTCAGGGTCTGCCACGTAGGAGCTGCTGGGTTGGCACTTATGGTCTGCAAGCTAGCTGAGAAGTGGTTCACTGGTTAAATTAAATGGCTGCTCTCAATGAATTTGAAAAGTGGTATCTTTATGCATACATGTCTGTCTGTGCTTGCTATCCAATACACAGGATAGTATCAGCAATGCTGGTCTGGGAGGAAAGGCTTGGCCCTGCAGGTTTTGACTGTGTAACTTCAAACTATTTAGGGAACGGGACTTAAAGTTTGTGTCTGAGAGAGAATTAATAATAAGAAATTTTTTTTTTTTTAAAGCCTGTGAACGTGATATAAATGAATAGCACACTGACACTACCCTTAATGTCTTACTATGCTGTGAGGAAATCAAATCTCTTCAGGGTAGCTAACAGGTAAAAACAGGGGATGAAGGAGGAAGGAAGAGAGATCCATCAATCTGTACATACATACGTACATATGCATACCTATTTAGAGACAGATTATAATAGTAATACTGATGTCTTCCTATATAAATTGGCTACTATATCTGATTTTACCCTTGTGGACCAAATTCAGTCTGGATTAATTTGGCTCAATTCTAGCCATTAATCTAAAATTAGAAGCTGAGTGGTCTCTGTTCTTCCTGTATTCTCTTCTGATAAAGTGTATCAATCCATCTAAAGTTAAAAAAGCCTCCAAAAGCAGTTCCCCATATCCAGTGAGTATGGGACCGAACTGGGACCTGTGGTCATAACAAAGTTACCTTGGGTCACTAGATATACCCCAAGGTAACTTTGTTATGACCACAGGCCCTTATTAAGTGCTTAGACTTCAGTGGTATTGACCTAGGCTTTCTTTTTGCTGTCCCACCTCACTGCCTTTCATCTATTTCCCTACTTTTTTCCCTACAGCAAAGACTGTTGTACTTGCTTTCCTTACATATTTGAGATCTCAGAGATGAATAGGACTAAAGATGTGGATGCACAGTGATTTTCATGGTGGCTTCAGCTGATGTGTTTTACTTGAAAATAGGATACCCTAAAAAAGTCTATTACTGTCATGACACCTGATAGTAATTAATTCTGTAGAAGTTGCTTTCAGCTACATGACCTGAGTAATATAGCTTTAGACTATAAAACTATATTCTGTTTAAGAATACCTTGGGTTGGAAGAGACCTTTAAAATAATCTAGTTCCAACCCCTCTGCAATGGGCAAAGACATCTTTCACTAGATCCAGGTTGCTCAAAGCCTGGCCTCAAATACTTCCAGTGACAGGCTATAGAGTAGAAAAAGGAAATAGAAGAGAAGGGATAGGAGGTTTGATCTGTTTGAAGTTGGAGAGCAACACATCTTTATTCCTTGCACATTTTAATGTGAGTTTTTTGTCTGCACAGGTAACAAAAATGTTTTGAGTTCATCTTAATAAGCTTGACCACACAAAACTTGTATTTTCTTGCTAAAAGTTATAAACCAGAAGAAATACCAAAATAAAATTTACATCAAGTATTTCAAATTTGAGAACCAGGAATTAAAAAAAGGATGCATTCAGCATGTTTCTCTGTACTTTTGTCAATAGTGAAGTGCCATATTAAGTAAGAATGTTATATTAAATGAAAATACTATATTAAATAAGAATAACATTGTAGACACACTTTTTTATCATCCCATTTTGACATTATGTACTATTTTATTTCTGCTAACATGAAAGGAGCAACATTGTAATGTACTAGGAATGAAGCCAGGACTACCTGCAATAACAATCACATAATATGAATTCCTTAGAAATTGTAAGGGGAATATATTTAAAACAAGTAATTTGTTGAAATATGCATAGCCTGAATTTTCACTTCTGCACTTGATTTCTATCACTATGTGCAGACAAATGTTACCTGAACAAACAAAACCTTATTTCAGCATTCCCCTTGAACAAAACATGTCAAACACTGCTGCTTCATATTTGTGTGCTTTAGCCTCGTAAGCCTAAACTTAAATCCTTCCTTCCTTAGCTAAATGCATGTTTTAGAGATAGGACTAGACCCAAGAATGGTTTTGGAAAAGAAAAGTGTGTGTGCATGAGTTATTAAATAGAGGAGCTATAATTTGGGTTTGGTGAAGATAAATGCATGTGCACAATTTTTACAGGTGTGAACCGAGCCCTAACTTTGGACATGGTTCTCCAGCTGCCATTATTTGAAGAGTATGTCTGCTTTTTTGCATTGCTTTTACCATTTCATTCTTTAATGAACAATGAAAGGTTCAAAACATATCTCCTATGGCAAATACATTAAAAACTGTCTTTACTGTTTAGTTAGAAAAAAGCTACCCATTAATTAAATCAGTAAGAATATTTTGCTTAATATACTAATGACTGAATATTAATTGTTTTTCTGTTTTTCAGTTGACATATGTTAGCCTTTTATGAAAAGAAAAAAAAAAGAAATCTTAATTTTCTTAGGCTGAAGGAACTAGGAACTAGAGAAGTGAAATAACTAATTTTTCACTAATGCCATAGAAATAATTAATGTTTAGAAATAGATATATTTTCACACATTTTCACTGCATTTTTTAATTTTTTTTTTTTCCCCAGCCTGGATAACAGCAGTCACATGTGAGGAAAAAATTAAAATCCTGCAAGTGATTCATGAATGCTATAGTATTTTAACAAGCATAGTTGGCACATTATAAGGAAGTTTACGTTGATGTTATTTTTTGTTTATATCTATAACAGACTACAGCAATAGAGTGTGAAAAGAGTATTAAACTGAACCTTTTCATTAACAGACAGACATCATCACCACACTGCAGTCATCTACATTCTCACCGATTCATTGAAACATAACAAAAATCTTTATTACTAAGGTTATACCAAACATTTTGCTCAGCATCACATTGTCTAGCCTTTATCTCTAGCCTCGCATTTATTGCATGTAGTCATTTAGCTTCCAGAAAATCTTGTAGTTGTCTCTCTAGGTAGCCAGACGTTTCTAAGCATGGATGCTTAGAGAGATCATTTACAGTCACTTTCTGTCTAAACAATAGTCCATTTAACTCTGATATAACTCATGCAGTATAAAACACAGATGACTTTTTAAAAATATTTGTTCTCAGGTCGATTTCTTTTGCCAGTTTAATATAAGCCTAGTGTTGACTTGCAGTTGACAAGAAAAATTTGACTGCATATCCACAGCATGACATTGTTACAGAGACTTTAGTGACTATATAAAGAATATAAAAGATGAATGCATTAAAACATGATGGAAAGGCTTTAGAAACTGTGCAAAAACAAATCCTGGATGTTCTGATAAGGAATTAAAATGGGACTCAAGAACTTTGCTGCACCTTCCATAGATTAGGAAGACAGTTTCTTGACTCTGGAACTACTTTATTCCAATTTCATTGGAAAGGCAGGATTATCAAGACTTCTTTTTTGCACCTCAGTACATCTTTTTAAAAGACAGCTGAAATTTTCTTATAGTCCTGTGAGTTCAGATACCAGCCCTTTCAAACTATTATCAAACAGCATAAAGTCTATATAAAGTTGTGTCAGGTATTTTGTCAATAGCTTTTAGCTAGGAAGTTTTCACAAAGATGGTAGTGGTATACAAGTTCATTGTGATAATGTATATAAATATATAAATGAAAGAGAAACATATTAGAGTTTGTCCATAAGCCAATACACGGTGGGCATTCTGAGTTAAGACTGGAAGTGACACTGGTATCATGTAGATGATGTTGAGATCATCTTCCCAATATGAGTGATAATGGCGACATCTCTTTGACAGGAGAAAAGACAAGGCCATACAGTTTTGTGAAGATTTCTTCAAAGAGTTTGTATATTATGATTATAAGTGTCTAAATGTTATTCTTTTTTTGTTTAGCTGAACTATATCTTCTGATGCCAGATATCTCCCCAGTTGCTGAAAGCTGTTAGCATTGTAGCAGAACAAAAATATGTGAAGATATAAGAATAATGTTGTTTTAATGGAGTGTTCTAATATTGTGCTGGTATGAAAACTGAACTGATTCAAATTGAACTCATTTTAATAATGCAGTTGTACACTCTGATAAAATAAAATATATATCTTCAGCATTCTGGAAGTGACAATTTGGTTTGTTCTCTTGAGTTATGTTTCTATAGTTGGTATAACTCTTAAATCAGAATAAGAGAGTGATTTGATTAAGTCTGGACTACTACATAAGCTATGTTTAATGCTGGGATTACATAAAAATAGATATACACATTTGTATTTTTTATCAGATAGGCTGGCGCTCTATATAAAAATATGTATAGTGTGAGTTTCTTTAGCTATTTTATTGAAGTTTTACATTTAATACTCTACCTGGAAAAAAAAATGCATTGTTCTCTCTCATTGGTTTAGGGCTGCAGTAAGCTGTGAACTTTGAATGTGCATATCCAGATTCTTACTCATATAATGGTGAGGTCACTAAAATCATCATGTTCACCATTCAGGCTGCTCACCAGCAATAATCATGTTTTCCCTGAAGAGTTTGTTATACCATATCCAAAATCAGGTCAGCTGTTGAATGTGCAACATCAATCTCACACACTTTCCTAAGTGCAACTTCACAATAAAAGGAGAACACTAAAAACCCCAGTCTGATGCAGTGAATTCACATCCATTAACTAACCATGGGGAAAGTTCCAGTATTCTGGAGTCAGTAAAGTTTTACAAAATTATTTTCTTTGATCGGTGAGTCATAGAAACAGAAAAATCATATATAATGTGTCATGCATGCCCTTGCAGAATGTTGGCTTTCCAGTTTATTGCTGTTTCTACTGATGTGATAAGATCTAGATAGCTGGATCCTTATTGCTGTTCCCTTTTCTTTGCAGCCACAGAGCAGATAGATACCCTTTTCCTATGAGTTTGAAATGAATATATCATTTGTCTTTAAAGCTGAAAAAGCTGTTCTTTAAGAGAATGTCATTTGACTAACCTTTTTTTTTTTTTTTTCCTGCAACAGTTAGATATTTCTACATCCTATATGTCTTGCTGAGCTTTCCTTCTCTGCTTCTTGTATTCTGCAGACACTGTAGAAGATGAAATGGAAATGGCCACAATACGACATAGACCTGAAGCTCTTGAACTGCTGGAAGCACAGAGTAAATTCACAAAGAAGGAACTTCAGATCTTATATAGAGGTTTCAAGAATGTAAGCACTTCTATTTAAATTTACCATCCCTTTCTAGGATGGGCCACTACAATCTCAGCAGCATAAGAATAACTGGTGGTGGAGCCTATGGTATTCAATAGCTAAGTACTGCATGTTTGGTGAAGTGAGGAAACAATCACTCTGCAACAACTGGGCTACTTAATGACCCAAAGATGCAGACTTATTAGGCAGTATCAAGAAGAAAAGAACTATAACTTTGTATACTAGATTTTGTTCAAGAATAGGTTGAAAAGTGTTTGAGGTTGCTTCTCTAAAGTTGCAATAGTGGGAGAGAAAGTAAGTCCTGAAGAATTTTGCCAGGAAGAGAAAAGATTTTTGGCTTTTTGTTCACAGTAGCTCTCACAGGAAGTAATTGGCTTAAATTGCACTAGAATAATTTTTTTTTTTTTTTTTTTTTGTTAGGAGAACAGCAGTAGAAGACTTTAGTTCTTTCTAGTTCTACAAATCTATAAACTTGTTAGAGCCTTTTACTAGGAAGCATTAGTTGTGATTTTTTGCTGACACATGCTCTTTTGGCAGGCCCAGCGTTTTTTATTGGCAGGGATCCTTACTGATGATTGAAGTATATGGGTGCTGTGTACTTGCTCTTCTGTGGTTCTGGGCTTGGTGTTGGCGTGTGAGGCATCCATGGTTAGCATAGCAGAGAAAGAGGGCACAAAAAGATTTTAGTTAGTTTTAGGTTCTGATTCTATATTAAAAGAGCTGCCCCTGGTTTAATAATATTATTTAAAAAAAAAAAAAAAAGTCTTCTTTAAAAAATAACCTTATTCTCTCAGTTTTATTTGACTATGTTTTAGGTGATTAACAGTTCTGTAGGATATTATATGCTATTAACACTGGATAGAAAATACTTGATATTAAAAAAATAATTATAACAATTGCTTTCAAATCATTGGTTTGTAATTTTAATCCATGTACTCAGCTGTGAATGCTGCAACTGTTCAGGTGCTAAGTCCCCTGCTGAGCTGAAGGTAAAGATAAATTTAATTGCATTTATCACCTTTTATGGCCTTTGGCATTTAGCACTCAAATGAAATTGTGTAACAAAGTATAATAATGCTAAAAACACAATGGAGCTTAACTGTGGAATCAGAAAGAATATTTTCAATAGCCTGTAAAATAAGTGTAAATCTTGCAGAATTCTTAGATATCATGTATTTTTAGTGAAAGCAAGCCATGCTTTCACTAGAAAAGTGAAACTTGCAAAGCATGTTTTTATCAAAAGCTTATACAGAGTCATTTAATGTGTCCTGTCTGGATATCATCCTTAGTTCCAGAAGGCATGTAATATTGGCATATTAGTGATTAACAGTGATTGCTCTTAAAAGCTTTTCATTTCCTCAGAGTACCAGAGAACATTCCCTTGCTAATGACAGTATTCCCTAGACAGTGAAAATCATGAACTAATGTTCCTAAATATCTAAAGCAAAAAGTTACAAACTATAGTGGATAAAATAAACCTTCTGACTGTTTCTTTAAGAACAAGTATGTTTAGAGTCTCAGAAATGAAGGACCGTGATAATTCTCTGGTATTACTATGGTAAGGAAAAAGAGAATAGGTTATAAGGAAGTGTTTTAATTGATTACCATTTTACTATTTTTTGAAAAGAGGAAATCCAGCTCTTTGTATGCTTTTATATTGTAAGTAAGGTCTACTTACATCAAAGGAGTGTTGATGGTGATACACAGCAATACATCTTTATTCAGGTGTTTCATTTCCTTATCAGTACATGATAATTCAAGACGTGTGTATAAATACCTTTGACTATTTAAAGTTAATGAGCACAAACTTTTGCTTTGTTTAATCTTGTTTAATATAATACCAAAATTATCAATTACTTTCAAAAATGCTGTAAAGTGTTCCCAGGGCTAGTGACTGTTATAAATAAGCTTAAAGCAGTAGTCTTTAGACCAAACATTATACTCCAGAAAAAAAGGAATTTAAAGCTTTCATTTGAATTGGGCTTTGTTTTGTTTCTCATATTTATCAGTTTCTACTGCAAAATTTGGTGCTAGATCACAGTTCCATAATCACTTCAGGGAATCGGTAGAGCAGGTTGATGGAGGATGAAGATGTGATGAGGAGCTTGCCTATGGTGGTTAAGTTCATCTTTCCTTTCATATATCTAGCTTTTATCAAATACAGTTTGAGCAGCTTTGGTGGTTACTGGTACAAGATGACATTACTGTGCCTCCCATGGTCTGTGCTTACTTGGTCTCCCCTGACTGCTCAGTCATTTACTTCTGCCTGCCACAGGCCTCCTCCTTTCTCCCTCCTCTTCTTTCTTGTCCTGCTTAATGTTGTCCTGCCACTATCTCCACCACTGTGTGCTTCATGCGTGCTCCATGCACTAATATATGCTGGGGGTTACCCAGCTGGAGAGCAGCTTTGCTTTGTTGAGCATTAGCCAGCAATGTGCCCTTTCAGCAAAGAGAGTAAATGGTCTGGGCTAATATCCAAAGTATTGCCAGCAGGTGGAGGCAGGTAATTCTTCCCTTGTGTCCAGCTCTGGGCTCCCCAGTACAAAAGAAATATTGGACATACTGGAGGGAATCCAATGAAGAGCCACAAAGATGGCTAAGGGACTGGAGCATCTCTCATATGAGGAAAGGCTGAGAGAGCTGGAACTGTTCAGCCTGGAGAAGAGAAGGTTCAGTGAGGACCTTATCAGCATATATAAATACCTGGAGGGATAGCATAAAGAAGACAGTGTCAGGCTCTTTTCAGTAGTGCCTGGACAGGGAGAGATCACTCACCAATTAACATCATAGGCAAAAAAGACCCAGCTTGGGGAAACTGGTTTATTAACAATCAAAGCAGAGAAGGGTAGTGAGAAATAAACCCAAATCTTAAAAAAAAAAAAAAAAAACAACAAAAAACAAACACCTTCTCCTCACCCCTCCCTTCTTCCTGGGCTTAGTTTTAGCCCAAATTTTCTCTGCCTCCTTCCGAGTTGCACAAAGGGGACAGGGAATGTGGTCTGTGGTCAGTTCATCGTACATTGTATCTGCAGCTCCTTCTTTCTCACACTTTTCCCCTGCTCCAGTGTGGGATCCCATTCATGAGAGTCAGTCCTCCACGAACTTCTCCAGCATGGGTCCCTCTCACAGGCTACATACAGTTCTTCATGAAGTACTCCATCGTGGGTCCCTTCCATGGGGTGCACTGTTTCAGGAACAGACTGTGCCAGCATGTCTCCCATGGGGTCACAACTCCTGCTAGCATTCTGCTCCAGTGTGGGCTCCTCTCTCCATGGGTCCATAAGTCCTGCAAGGAACCTGCTCCAGCGTGGGCTTCCCACAGGGTCACAGCCTCTTTGGGCATCCATCTGCCCTGGCATGGGGTCCCCTGTGGGCTGCAGGTGGGTATCTACTCCACTGTTACCCTCCATAGGCTGCGGTGGAGCAGCCTGCCTCATCATAGCCTTCGCCATGGGCTGCAGGGGAATATCTACTGCAGTGCCTGGAAAACCTCCTCCCCTCACTGACCTTGCATCTGCTTAGTTATTTCTCTCACATATTCTCATTCCTCTCTACAGTTGCAGGCTGTTGTGCAGTTTTTATCTCCCCTTAAATATGTTATCACAGAGGTACTACCACCGTTGCTGATGGGCTCAACCTTGGCCAGAGGCAGGTCCATCTTGGAGCCAGCTGGCATTGTCTCTGTTGGACATGGGAAGCTTCTATCAGTTTTCAACAGAAGACACCTCTGTAGCCCCACCACTACCAAAAACTTGCCATGCAAACCCAATATACTCAGTATCCTGTTGTCCTGATTTGACCAGGATAGGGCTAATTTTCAGCAGTAGCTGGGAGGGAGCTACAGTCAGGACAGACTACTGAACCAGCCAATAGGTTATTCAATACCATGCTGATGTCATGCCGGTGACAGGAGGTCCAGGGTCATGGCATCCGGGGTCACACCATGGTTTCTATTCAGAGCTAATGTAGTCTGTCTTTGTATCTCTTGCTTTATATATTGTTTCATTATTGTTACTGTTATTACTGTTGCTTATTGCTCTGTTTGTGGTGTTGTATTAAACTCTCCTTATCTCAGCCCACAGGGGTTGTATTTTTATCTCTTTTCTTCTTCTCATGCAGGGGGTGGGAGGAGGGTGAGCAAGTGGCCACATGATGCCCAGCTCCTGGATGGGTCTAAACCACAACACCTGTTTTCAAGAGTGACCAGATAAAGGAAAGAATAAAGAATAAGGGCAATTTAGAGTGATAATGCCCTTAACATACTCTTCTATCACACTGCACTCTCCTACTGAAAAACTTTCTTTGCTGAAAGTTGTGTCTTCATCTTTTTATCTTACATACTTCAACAAAAGCTTCTTCAAAAAACAGTGATAATTACTTTTTGAGCCTGCCAGAGTATTTTGACATCTACAGGATCTTGTGGGAAATTAGTTCCATACGTATTTATGCTTTCTCTTAAAAAACCATATCATTTCTGTGTCAATCCTTCTGCCTTTTCTTTTAATAAGATAGTTACAGTATTTCTGCTGTGAGAAAATGAGTAACCATTACCATGACTTCTTCAAAATATTCACTGTTTTACACGCATCTAACACATTTCCTGGTTAGTCTCTTCCTAACAGAAAGATTTTTGTCTATCTAATCTCACTCCAGGCTAATGATTTCCCTGAATCCTTTCTACTTCAAGGATGTCTGTTCTGAGATAGGGATGACAGGAACTTCTTACAGCTTACGTCCAGATATTTATTGTTTATGACTTCAAATTCCTTACCTATAGATCTGATTGACTTCAGATGAGAAACCAGCACATACTCCTTTATTTCTGTAGTGTTGGTAATTACAAAGTTTGATTTATTATGTGTTTTTTACTTATGAAAAAAATAAGAATGTAAACCTCTAAAGGTATTTTAATTGACTTTATTTTCCAGTGTAGGCGAATTACATGCCAAATCCTGCAAAAAGTAATTTGAGCAGAAGGAGCATCGGGTCTCAGATAG